GGCGCAGGCCGGTGCTGGAGCTTTCACGCAGTGCAAACTAAACAGCAACAGCTGTGGGCGTTCAGTAGCAGAGACTCGGGGCGACCGACGGTCGGCACAGCTTGGCCCCCTTACCTGAAAAGCGACACCCTGCGCTCTGCGCCCGTGCGTAGAAATAATAGTTCTTTCTTCTTGGGTAACCCTGGTTTTACCTTTTCTTTCAGAAAAAGTCAAATGCGTCAGAGCACAGCAGACATCGAGCAAACCTCTGAGGACAAATCTTTTGGTTACACGATAGCAACGAGCTGTAGTTGCTTACTTTAAAAAAAAACCCAAACAACCCAACATTTTTACTCCCTTCTAGTTTGCCATCATGCCTATGTCTCCTTTTCTTTCATTACCCCTGGTAGTGCAGGGATTTCCTTTGGAAAAAAAGCATCAAGACAGAAATGCTTATCCTGTGTTCACTCTATATACTTAAAGGAAAGTGAAGGGCAACTCAGCTTTTCCCTTTCTTCACTCCTGTTCCCAGCTGTATTGGTTGTTCTCTTTAATGTCTTTAGGTGATTAACACTCTCTTTTCTCAGGCCCTGATCCAGCTCAAATAAATTGAGTTTGCATGAGTTCAAAATAGTATTATTAAGCGTGAAATAATGTCCATAATGGGTCTGAAGTAGGGAGCAGGCAGCCTGCCAGCAGACGGTCTGTTTTTATCAATGGTATATATGCCATTTGAGTTCTGGGGGCTCACTCAGCACTGCTGTGCTGCACGTAAGCATATTTGTGTATATACACACATCTATATCTAGAAATGTCACCAAAGTCCTTTAAGTGAATTTCATATCTTTCTCACTTTTTCTTCTAGAACACAGTTGCTAATTTTACCAGTTTAGTATAAGCTACAAAAATACTTCAGGACTTACCTCTAATTCTGTTAGCTATTTTTCCTTAATGGGGAAAAGCAGTGTAAGCATCTATGGCTTGTGCTTATATCTAATTTCATTCAAATTAAATAACTTTTAAAAATAGGAGCTGTCCTGAGAAACTGACTTATATGTCATACTATAAAACACTGAGTGCTACCAATTCATGGAAGCTGTGGACACAAGCTATTTTATATAAGAAGGCCAAAATTATTTTTTAAAGTGATTCTGCCTAACTTACCTGTTTCTTTTTTCTCTTATCCCAATTCCCCACTGTTCTTTTAATGCTGACGTTTAATTTCATTACTTCAGTTTGAGTAGCTTTGACTGACTTACAGAATCATCATATATGTAGTTGAACAACACAGTGGTGGTAGTATATATGTAAGAAGGAAAAGTGGAAGAAAAAGATGTCCGAAGTATGCTACTGCTGCACGTACTCTGTTCTGCAGTCTCTGAGCATATAGAGAATAATATTACAAAAAGTGGTTTCAGTGATACTTTATAATGGAAGTGACTTGGATTTTAAGTCCAAATCCCAAAGTTGTTACATAGTTGTTTAACTAATGACAGACCATTAACAGATGACTATGTGACCCTATGGCCATTAGAATTGTTAGTTTATTTCAGCTGAAGAGTAAGAAACAAAAAAAAAAATATTTTACAGGATATGTTTCTTCCTGATAGTAATTAATTATACATCAGGTTGTAATTTGTATTTAAAGAGCTACATATTCGTGTTCGTCCTTTTTTTTAAAAATTATTTTTAATTAATCCATTTCAGAATAAATGTTGGTGTTCTTGTGATATCCACAAGATGGCATGCAATGTCTTCTTTTTCAGCCTCTGTGGTTTTGGGTATAAGGTTTACAATCTTCTCAGTAACAGAGGCGGCCTTGAGAAATAGTAAGTCCAGGAAGTATTTGTTTAACAACTATGTGGTTAGGTAATTTCACAGACGTCTACCTGATGACTTCTATCTCAATTCTGTCAAATAGTTGTAATGTTAGTAATTTTTGTCAGTCATCGTGATGCATTGCTGTGATCCAGCTAAAATTTAAGCTGTCTTTGGTACTAGACGTGTTTTTCTTTTGTTATTCATTGTACCTCATTCATATTGGAGGGGGGAATCTTGAACGAGTAGAATGTAGTTACCTGTTCTAAAAATTTAGCAGATTTAGTAGACATGTTTCTTCCAAAAGTGTAATCAAATTTTAGCGATGAGCATGTCTGCTAGCATTGTCGGGCAAGAGAAGAGCAGTTTGATAGTTCGTACCCGCAATGAGAAAACTCTCATTGCAAAACCCTATTTCAGGCAGCTAGGAAGGAACTTCTGTTCCCTGCTTATGCTACTTTATCCTACAGCTATTGTTAGTGAAAAGTGTTAGATATTTTTCTAGTATATATATGCAGCCATAGAAACCAGAATAAAGAAAAGAGAGCATGTGTTATGTCATCTGTGTAGGGCCCATGCCAGCTTACCTGACTGAATGTAAGCTTTGTGGTCTCGTCATGCTAACCAGCGTTTAATGCAATGCAGAACATACTCTGTTCATCTTGTTTTGTAGTAGAACATATGACTTGTATCACATCACCACAGTCCCTGCCTCCTGCTGCAAAAGGCTACATTCCTAGGCATGGCTTAAGGTGAGAGCAGGAATAGCCTGCTTCCTCCATGTAAGATGGAAAACTAGCAAAAAAATATCTGCTGGATACTAGGGCTGTCCTAGCCAAGCTGGAAATTCTGGTTACACCAGGCTGAGTGAAATATTCAGGACGTGACTCAGGAAAAGAGTGCCATGTAGTAAAACTAGTAGTATTTTAACCAGCTCCTTGCAAGTTTCCATTCCCAGTGTGACAAAACTCTCATTGATTTAGGAGTTCAATCCAAGGACACTCTGGCACACCTTACTTTTAGTGGGCTGAAACCAGGTGATGAAATCAGAGTACAAAGATATATACAAAACACTCTTGCAAGAATGTCTAATAAACACACCTTCTTTGAAAGTATTTTTTCTGTATTTTAGTCTGGTAGTCTGGAATAGCAAACCACAAAAGTTAATGTCTTTTTTTTTTTTTTTTTAATAGTCTGAAGTTGTGTTCTATTTGAAAAGACCACTTTCTTCTAGGAGAAATAACTGCAGATTAATGTGATGGTTACCAAGACTGCACTAGATTATAGTGAAAAAACAGGTACTATCAATGTCTGCATAGTAAGACATAGCTGATATTATCTACATAACAGTTTCCGGTAATTATAGAAAATTCTAGCAACTACCATTTGTATGTTAGTAAACAATGTGTGAGAGACAAAACTTGTTTGACTACTTACTGGTGTAATTTAGATATTGCAGAAATATGACATAAAGTTGTAGAGCTTTATGCCTTTTGAAAGCTTATATCAATGTGTTCAAAAATTCCCTCAGCTTTTGAATCAGTTTCTCTTTCTAGTCCATTTTCTCCACACCAAAGCCTCAAGTGTCTTCTTAAAAAATGCTCAGCACTGCTTTCCCTTGTCTCTGCACAGCATTGTGCTGTGCCATGTGGACATACTTCATGGTTAGTGCTTAAAATTCTCTAAATTTTTAAACTGCTGAAGAACCCAAGCTTTTTTTTGCGAAGAGCTTTTAAATGCATTTTACAGCCCTCCCTATTTGTCCATTTTCCAGAAATAGTTTAATAGGTGTCTTAGATTAAATAACTGTGATCTAACTAGTCCTGATTAGGCTGAATCATAACAATGGCCATCTGAATTTCAGGTGAATATCACACACATTTTATTCAGCCACAGCTGACCCAGATCACAATGTTTGTGACCAGCCTATCGCATACTACAAAAGCAATTAA